AGACACACCAGTTGCTATCAAATTGGTCACCAGTGTCCCGCTGTAGAATGCAGCTATCCATCGCCCTGTTCGGGCGGCGAAGACATCGTCTGAGAGGTCGGACGGAGTAGATACAGTGATGTTATTACCGATGGCCGCCGCTATGATATCGTGGCATTGAACACAAGGTATGTGAGGATGGAGAAAAAGAGAGCGCACTTAATAAACCTAGCCAACTCAAAAGGGGCAAGAGGACAATTATAAGTCTGCGCCAAGCAATGTATGCGCGGTATATCTGCGCGAGAGACGAGTGTGGGTGGCGATGTAAACGCGGAGTCATTGACTAACTTACAAGGATACCATCCAGAAGGAGAGTTTGAACGTTGTACAAAGTACTTTTGATAACGAAAGTGGGTTGTGCGATGTTTACAAAGAACCTATCTGGACCACCAGGAAGGTTTGGTCCAACAGTGACGAGTCCTTTTCGAAGGTGCTGAATATTATTTCCGAAGTTCTGAGTATTTGATCAGCCCTATTCGAAAATGGCGGACGAGGGGACACACACCGCGGTGGATAATACGAATAGCGTGAAGCCTGCGACTATGATGCTCCAGTTGGTGCACCGAGTTCTTCGATTCTTGTACAGAAACCATCCAGTGAGGATGAACATGAGCAATGAAATACCTTTGCACTAGTAAGTCAGCACAGTACGATGACGCAGACCTGACTTTTGAGCTCACCGAGCAATACCGCAGAAACGGAGGCCGATATGACCAGAGCCTCCGCCAGCGAGAACATGCCGGGTTTGTCGTGGCTTGGACCACGAGTTTGTCTCTGCTCGCTCGGACGAGAGAAGAATCAGTTAAGGAGGGGAGTTTGGAGGGGGAGAAGTAGTCGACATGCAGGCCGATACGATGGTAACAAGGAAGTTATGATATTGAAGACCATCATTACCCATGAATGAACTGAATCTCCTCAACCTCGGGTATACCGTTTTGGACGAGTCCACATGACGGGCGCCAAGGAACTCACAACATGCTCCAGTGGACCAGGACCTGGATAATATTTGCTCTCCCGAGCCTCCTTCCTCTCTCCCTTGCATACATCCCCGCATCTCCACTTAACGCGTCGGCTGTGGAGACACCGTCTACGCAGCTCACTCTCACGTGGGGTAGTGGTAGCAGTGGCGGAGGATATCAGGAGAAAGTCTTGTATTCTTTGGTCGGGGCGGAGAGTAATGGAATGGACAAGGTGTGTTGTCTCTCGAGATGATCAAACACCACTGCAGTTGAACAGGTTGCGTTCACCAGGGTCCTTTACTTCACTTCTCAGAAGCAAACTTGACCGATGCTACCAGTGAGACTCTTGCCCTGAAAGTATTCACAAAGCGACCGATACCCTTCCTCCAGCCACGACCCCATGGATCGCACTAATCTCATGCGATAGAAATGTAACTGATGCCTCTACCATCGACGACATCTTCACTCTGGCGTGGGAACGAGGTGCCGTTGCAGCAGTGCGTTGTCGTACATATCGGAATGGCTACCTTCTGCTTTCGCTGACGTCGCGTCAAATTCGCAGTTGCTTTACTCGCTGTACAGTGAGAGTTGCGAAATCAGTCCTGTGTATGCAGACCCCACGGCTTTCGCTAGAGTGATGGATATATTCTCTACCCCGACGCTCGTAGCTTCCAAGTGCGTCCCTCGACACCTCATCCTCCGCGCTCGCATCCTAACGTCCTGAATTCAGAATGGTTGAGGACCGCTATACCCTGACGGACACGATCAAGTATGGGACCTTTGACGCGAAATTGCTCAATGATTCCTTCGCAGAGATCAACGCGGCACTGTCTAGCGGATCTGTCGCACCAGGGTATATATTTGCATCGCTGTCTGCATCCAATGCAACGGCAGGCGGGCCAGATACCCCTAGCCCCGCCAACACAACCACTGAGAAACCCCAGGGCAACGATGTCAGTCAAGGCACGACTTTATCTATGTGAGTTCTGCATGTATTCGTAAATTACACACATCCATAATTGACTGTTTTTGACTGCAGGATTATTCTGTATGTTATCACTGGGACCGTGTCAGCTTTATTGTGCTCCGTGTAGACCGTGGCCTTTATTGCAATCGTGCAACTGTGGATTATACCCCTAGTTCCTCTTATAAAAGCAACGGATTCCTGTCTGAAATCGGACTCGATAGGGATGAACGGTTCTCAGCAACGGATCATGTAGCCTTCCGGCCACAGTGGGGCAAGTTATGAAGGAAATGCAGTCCCAGAACTTGAAGGACACATACATACTGTAGTATATGATCACTTCTGGGGGTGCATATAGATGAACGAGGCGAACCCCGGCCATCCACAATCGCTAGCCACGCTTTGTCATGGACACGTCAGTCCAAGGGAATGATCGGGAGACAGGACGCGCAGATATGGTTGAGCAATGTTGTCGCGGCTATTACTACTGTTAATGGACCCAGTCTAAGGGAGGATGTACACCACAATATCTCTCCTCATCTTGTCTTCCATCCTATCCATTCTTCCCCATTCCTCAGCATACATACCCGCATATCCCGTCAATGACCCTGTCTCTCCTCCAGACGCAAGCGGGACCAACGGGACATCACCTTCCGAGTCATGGCTCAATATGACCTCTCAGAGCTACAATGGCGGGGGGTTCGCGTTGAAAGTCTCGTATTCTGTGGTCGGGGCGAAGAGCAATGGCTTGGCAAAGGTGCATTATGTTCTCAACAGTCTGCACACTGTCGATAGAACTGTGTTTGCTAGGGCCCGTTCCTTCATTTCTCTGAAACGAATTTGACGGAGGATACCAGTGAGTGCTCCCTCGTGATCTGGAAAGACTTACTGGAATTGTCTACCCCAGCTACGACCCCTTGGATTGCACTCGTCTCTTGCGACAGCAATTCAACAAATGCCTCAACTACTACCGACATCTTTACCCTGGCACGGCAACGAGGTGCCATTGCGGCAGTGCGTCCCCAAACCCTGGCACGAATATGCATATCTCGATACACACTCACACTACTCTATCTTTCCACCTCGCAGTTTCTTTACTCATTGTACGGCGAAAGATGTGAAATAAGCCGCGATTACGCAGACCCTACGAATTTCGACAACCGAATGGATATATTCTCTGCCCCAATGCTCACAGCCTCCCAGTATGTCCTCGGCTCCTCTTGCACATAACTTACCTTCCCCCGACCACCCGCCCTGACTTCCTCTCCTTACCCAGATTCATCGAGGACCGTTTTGCCGTTATCACGACAAAGTACAGGAATTTTAATGCAACACTGCTGAACGATTCCGCTGCGGAAGTCAACGCGACACTCTTCGATGGACCCGTCGCCCAAGGGTTCATGTTTGCAAGTCTGCGAGCCTCCAATGCGACCGCAGACGGAGGGTTTGGTGACCTCACCCCTATTGCGGATAAACCCCAGGGTAATGGTGGCAATCCGAACACGGGCCTGGAATTGTGAGTTGTGCAAACAACTGGGTGTGGATCGACGATTGACCTTCGTTCGAACCAGGAATATCTTGTATGCGACGGTGGTAGCAGTACTGACCTTGCTTTCTTTGATGTAGTTCTGTGTCATTCTCAGCTGGCGAACATCGCATTGTGCTAATGAGTGCGTTGGGTTCGACACACGTCGCAAATGTCTAGCGTAAGGTTGCAAAGTCAGATTCGTCAGAACAAAGAGCAACCTTCCAACGTCGTCCTGGTGTCGTCCGCTCCACGATGTACTGGCTCGAATAGTGACAACTAGCTTCAGATTACCCTCAGGTCAGATGAAAAGTGAAAAACTTGCTGCCTTAGAAGGATACATATTACAATGTCCAGGAATGGTTTATAGCGAAGCCAGGATTAGTTGAAGAATTTACGATTCTCGTTTGCGCCAAACAAGTCGTAACGAATCTCTGGCAACATCTGAGGAGTACAATAATGAGTATTGGTTCAGGATCAGAATGGAGTGATTCACGCACCCTGTCCTCCAAAAGCTTCAGTCGCTCATCCAGTGTGTTGTCGATCACGATACGGCCTGTACCGCTGACGAGGACAACACCACCAGCACTGCGACATAGCGTCAGTTCTGTTGCATCAGGCAGAACCTACAGAACTCACAGTGAATTGGTTAATGATGGCTCTACGGTAACCTTAATCTCCCTCCCGCTGATATCCTTGTATATCTTCTGCGAAGACTCCACCGCCTTCTTCACGACCTCCTCATCCTTTTCCCTAGCACGCACGACAGCCTCCGGTTCAAGGAGGGACAGGAAGCCCTGTGAGATCACGCCCTCGAGGAACTGGACGTAGCGGCCCTCTTGCGAGGCCAGCTCTACGATCTGAGAGCGTGCGGATTCGAACAGATCTTGGAGATGTTCCTCGCGCTGCTGCAAGAGCTTTAGGCGCGACTTGTTCGTCAGGGTTGAGTGGGCACTTCGAAGGTGATTGTTTTAGCTACTACATCGCTGACGGCTAAAGTGGGGCTCACATTTTCTGAGCCGTCTCTGCGCCTTTTCGCTTCTTCTCATACTGCGCATCGATAGCCTGTTGCTCCTGCTTGACGAGTTTGGCCTGCGAGGCAGAGGTCCGGCGGGTTAATCAAGGATGCTGTCGAGGAACGAATGAGTGCGCCGGACGCACCTTCTCAATCGCAAATTCCTCATCGGCTTTCACCTTGATCTCCCTAGCCTTCTCCAAAGCCTCCTGCTTGATGAACGCCACCTGCACAGATAGTCATTGAGTCCAAGCTCGATAGCCCGAGTTCCGTAGGAACTAACCATCTTGTTCATTTCGCTGAGAACCTCGTCATCGTTGAGTGGTCTATTGGCCATAATGTTCGGATATTATCCCAGTAACGTAGGAGTGAAATGGTCGTTAAAGGGAGTTGCGGTGCAGGTGCTAAGGCAAGTATGAGGTCAGGACAACAGCAGAACCCACAGAAGGAAGGTACGGGCGTCTTGTAGTGTAGAGCGGCTTGGCGAGCCATTTCACCGGGCACATGGTGTAGTTGGTTATCACATCCGCTTAGCATCATGGATGCACTTGCGGGGGGTGCTGGGTTCAATTCCCAGTGTGTCCACTTTTTGGTTTCGTCGACACTTTTGCCTTGGTAGCGATATCGATACATATGGACTCCTTTATCACATCCCCCGAGGCCTCAATCCTATCAAACATCCCATCGTCTTTCCAATACATCATTCATAAGTGAACAAATACCAGATACATACAACCAAAACAACGTCCATCAGAATAGCCCAACCAAGTCAGCGAAAGGATCTTTCCCTTGCGCCTGCCCTGACTGCGGATTGTTCGTTTGTGGTTGCTGCTGCTGCTGAGAAGGTCGACTTTGCTGCTGCTGAGGAGTCATGATCTGCCCGCCACCCAATCCACCAAACCCGTTGGACCCATTGGTGTTCGAGAAACCCAATCCTGCACCAGTAGGAAGCGTATTCTGGGTTGTCGATGAAAAGTAATTGGGAGCGGGTGACGTAACACGAGAGCCAGAGCCCTGAGGCTGCAGCTGCGGTGTACCCAAACGGATCATCCCTCCTGGTGTTGAAGTGGGTGTTGAAGTGCCGTGGTTATATGGCGATGGTGCAGAGGTATTCGCCAGCGATGGGGATCCACCAATTGTCGCGTTGGTTGGGAATCCCGGAGGGAAGGCAGAGTATACCGGCTGCTGTCCGAAGACAGAGATGCCCTGAGGTTGGGAATGGAGTTGCTGTTGAGGTTGCTGCGGTACGGGAGGGGAAGATGATCCAAACAAGCTTTCGAGGTCATTCATTGCCTGAGCGCCGGAAGAGGTCGTTGGCGCGGAGTCATCGAAATCAATGAGGGATACAGCTGCGTTCGAGTTTGACAGCTCATTAGGAATGGGGTTCTTTGCGGCTGCGTAGTCGCCCCGCTTCCAAGCATCATATCGACCGAGCACAGAGTTGATCTGATCATTCAGCTTCAAAAATGTATCTAGTGGGGGATGAATGAATGAGACGGCGCAAACAGAAATACAACAACGGATTATCTCACCTAGCTCATCCGGGTCAAACGACTCGGCATCCGATATCCACCCTTGTATCTTCGGCCGTGCATTGCCTAAGATCGTAGCAACTTGCTGCAAGAAGAACATAGAACGGTAAGACACTGAGAATCCAGTGGCAATTGATTTGCTTACATCGTAAGCGTCACCTTGCACAGATCTCTCTCCGGGAACCGAATTGTCCAACATCTCGGTGAGTAAAATAATTTGACTCTCCAGTTTATGGATCTCGTTGAATGCTTGAGTCTTATAGTCGGGCTTTGCGTCGGGATTGGCACCCGCGAGTGACTTCATGAGCTCCTGCGCTTGAGCAAGGTCTCGTGGCGTCCCTCTGCGAATCAATTCCTGCAGTTTCGCTGATTGAGCCTCACGGTCCTCGTTCTCAAGCTCTTCTGCAGTTTTAAGGTTCTATGTAACGACACGTTAATACACGATATATATGATACTCGCCAGTTACGCACCGAAGTCGCCGCAGACAGGTTTGGCTGACGAGGAATGTCGCGGAACCGATAGCCCTTGAACGTTAACAGCCTATGCATATCCCTTATATTTCCAAGATCCTCTTTCCACCTGGACTCTGTGCATATCCCCTCCTTCCATCTGTGAATGAGTTCCAGGATTCGAGACATCACCGGGCCAGGGAAAGGCGGCGGTCGTTCGGGGAATCGGCGCACAAGTTCGTTAAGGAACTCTTTGGTAGCTATTTGTAGGTGAAATGGGTATCCACAAGATTGGACGAGCGTGTCTAGGAGGGAGAGGGCCAGAATCGCGACATGAGGATTACGATGATTGACAAGATTTGCTATGAACATCGCAGCTTCTCGTGAGCTACAAGATGGTTGAGCACCGAGTTGATCATTGTACACCGTGAATATAGACATACCTGTTTGCTTTCTTTTGATTGATGTACTCAGCAACTTCGAGGTTGATTGCATAGTTAGGCTCTGGAAGGGATGGATACGTCGCGCGAGTGATCAGTATCTTCAGCGGCGAGGTATCCTGCATCCAACCGGACGCAGATGCCGCGTTGAACATTTCTCGTGGAGCAATGCGTGGATGGGTCGAAGGAGGTCGGGACTCGCGTGAAGGATGGGATTGAGACCACGAAGGGCTTTGTGAAGTTGTGAGGCGCCGACGTGGAAGCTGGGCCAAGCGCGGTCCGATTCCCGTCGCAGCAGATCGCAGCGCAATCTCCAGTGGTCAACTTACGTTCGACGTTCACCAGGTACACAATGCAGTATCTACCTGGTATTTCCTTGGCATTCATTGTCTAGTCTGCCAGCATTGTGGTATTGTTGTACAATCATGAATTCGCAAGCCTCCCACTCGACCAGTGGCTCAAGCCTCGCCGTGCTGGTTCAAGCATCGAGCCCGGCCCCACAATCACTTGAGCAACTGGAAAGGTATGCGTCCCAATTGCTATTGCATTGCTACTTGCAACTCACCATAGTAAGCATCACTGCAGATATCGGCGACGATTGAACGGTATGCCGGACACACCGCCAGTGATAGGTGCCAAACAGGCCCTTAAACTAGGTTCAATCCCAATCTAAGCAAAACAACGGTCAAATCTCTGACATTGTGGTGAGCATATTCATACAAGGCATGCGTTATGCGAACACTTGCGCCTTCACAGTTTCCAGATACACGGCGTCATTCAAGCTGCCAGTGAGGGACCCATATGAGTGTCCGGTCTACTATTAACTACTACTAATGGTGCTCGTTTCTGTTGCAAGGGTTTGGGCCTTCTCCCCAACATCGTACACAGCATATTTCGCGATCAAGGCACGGTCAATACGTGCCAAATACCCCGTCTACTGCTCATCGTCTAACCTGGATCTTGCGATCCAACTTCTTAATTCCTCTCCCAACCAGAAGTAGTCTACATAATGTAGGTTCAGCTCATCGCCTCCACGCCATTCTCCTAGTAGCATTCCAAACATACCGCTGGGTCGAGGCGCCGGCACCCTCTCCCTTCTCCTTGGTTCTACCGTCCAGTTCCGTAAACACGCTCAGGACGGTTTACCTCACATTCGTGACCCATCGCCACACCTCCCGCTTTAGCTATGCACGCGCTGCCTCACTCCATTCGGCCAATCATAAGACGCCTGCAGAGGTGATATAATGGAAGCATGCTTTGGAAAGCCCTCATACTACACCACCACTCAACATGGACCCAGAAACACAACGGCTCGTCAAACCCTACTTGATTGAAGATACTGCCAGGAAAAAAGGTCTGAAAGCGATTATGAGAGGCTTGAAGTCGCCCGAACAAATAGTAGGAACTCACTCAGCTCATCATATCATAGGCTAATCATGTTGGCTCACAGATTGTGGAAACACAGGAGATGCAGGTTCGTCCTACAAATGTCATTGAATTTGTCCTCTCACCATGGCGGCTTCTAGGACGGTACCAAGAAAAAGGGAACAGCGACAAGGTGGCGTTGCAGAAACAAGCACTGTGCAGCCACTCGCACACGGCTTCAGGACCTCAATCGCCACCACGAGAGCTGCAAGCACTCCCCCAAGATTGTTTTGATGTATGTGGGCTACCATGATCATGGTACTTTTAATCTTCGTACTGATTGCATACAGGCTAAGTAAGCAATGGGTTTGTGGTTATCCCGGATGTCATTATAGAGATCGAAGTGGCCCTGGTCGTCAAGGCAGCATGGGGGACGACGAGCTGGTTGAACCCTATCGGACCAGACAAAAGAGTAACCTGGTTGATCATGTAGCGAGGCAGTGAGCATTTCATGGTGATGCTATGATCAGGCCTCTACTGACGTTAAATATTAGCCTTGGGATTAAATTTCCTTGTGCGCATTGCTCTCTTGTTTTCGATGACAGACCCGCGGTCAGCAAACATCTTCAAGGTTTAATCCCTCGTCGAATTCGGCGAAAGCGCGACGGTCAATATACTGAAATCGCGAGAAAACTGGAGCCAGCAATCGAGACTGCCAAACGAAAGGATCGCATGGCGAAGACGAATGCAACTAGGGACTCGGAATGCGAGGTTATGCAAGTGAATGCGTCTTCCGATGAGTGTGAATCAAGCTGGGCTGCTCAAGAAGTGGCTGTTGCGAAGCATCTCACGCTGAGAAAATTCTCGGGTGCAACTAGCGGGGACCGTTCAACGCAAGAGAACTATCTATGAGCGTAGTACAACTGACCCGTAGGGTAGCAGCCAGGTATCGCAACAGTCACGGTAGTCCATGACTCTCCTATGATCATACGAGTTAGAGTCATGCTGTCTTTGGCTTGCCAACTCGTTGTACATATGTACAATCTGTGCATGTAGCATAAAATAGTGCGGCCGCGATGTAGTGTACCTCTAGTTTTGCTGTTCGACCATAGCATCCCACCCCAATTGACACAAGTCTGCGCCGCACCTTGATTTCAAGTTGTGACTTGTGAAGTACTTGTGTTCTTCATTCCCGTATCAGCGACACTTGCATTATGTTATCATCGTGTCCTCCAGCAGCAAAAGACCAATCACACGCAAGAAATCCCGATAACAGATCAAGCATCTTCGATGTCATCATCCTCCAACCAACCACCAAGATCAGCTTCGGACTCTTGCACTCGATCAGGACCTGCGGCATCCTCACTCTCAGCCATCAACAGCGCATCTTGCTGAGCATCATCCGCTTCATCAGCCAGCTCCGTAAGGCCGGACGGGCCTTTCGAGAACTGAAGTCGAGAGAATAAACGATGTGATGACGGTGCTGTGGATGCTTTATGGCCTGGGTGGCTGAGTCAGTAGATAGTGGGAACGTGCTGTGAATAAACTGTGGCGTACCGATCATATCTCGAGCCTTGAGCACGCCACCCAGCTCGAGGGCGATGTTCTGACGGCTCCAACCACCCGCACCGCCATGCTCATCCTGCCGTGAAATTCAGTCAGCGTCGTACTAATCATCCTCGATTGAGCAGAAGTCACTCACCCTCTGTAACCAATCATGTACATCAATAATGCTATCTGCTATCTCCCGCTCTGTCTTCATCACATCGAAGAACTCAGGCTTGTATGGTTTTTGGCC